GGGTCTGTTTTGCTGGGGTTGATTTATTGCTGCTGGGTGGGTGGTATTTTGTTGCAGGGGGTCTATTGTTTGCCTGTGGAATCTATTGTTGCTGGGGGGGGGTCAACTGCTGCTGGGAGGAATCCATTGTTGAGGGAGGGGGTTCTCTTGATGCTGGCTGCTGGAAGGTCTGTTGGTGCTGGCAGGGGTCTGTTGCTGCTGGGGTTGATTTATTGTTGCTGGGGGGGGTATTTTGCTGCAGAGGGTCTATTGTTGCAGGGGATCTATTGTTTGCATTGGGGTCTATTGTGGCTGGGGGATCCACTGTTGAGGGAGGGGGGGTTGATTGATGCTGGCTGCTGGGAGGTTTGTGTTGCTGGCAGGGGTCTGTTGCTGCTGGGGTTGATTTATTGTTGCTGGTGGGGGTAGTATTTTGTTGCAGATGATCGGGAACAATAGAACAATTTACTGCCTTTCTTGTTATCAGTAACAAATTATACAAATTCCTTAGGCTGACAAAATTATACTTCTGTATTTTCTAAAGTGGGCGGTAATGGGAGGTGGGTAGGGGGCAGAACCAGATGGTGCTCAGAGGTGGGTTGGGGGTGGAGACAAGGGGAGGGGGAGAAGGAGGGAGTACCTGAACCTATTCAATGAGAAAAAGGTGGGTGGGGGTGGGACCAAGGGATGGTGCTCAGAGGTGGGTTGGGGGTGGAGACAAGGGGAGGGGGAGAAGGAGGGAGTACCTGAACCTATTCAATGAGAAAAAGGTGGGTGGGGGTGGGACCAAGGGATGGTGCTCAGAGGTGGGTTGGGGGTGGAGACAAGGGGAGGGGGAGAAGGAGGGAGTACCTGAACCTATTCAATGAGAAAAAGGTGGGTGGGGGTGGGACCAAGGGATGGTGCTCAGAGGTGGGTTGGGGGTGGAGACAAGGGGAGGGGGGAGAAGGAGGTAGTACCAGTGCCTATTCAATGAGAAAAAGGTGGGTAGGGGGTGGAACCAAGGGATGGTGCTCAGAGGTGGACTCGGGGTGGAGACAAAGGGGGGGGGGGGGGGAGAGGAGGGAGTATCTGAACCTATTCAATGAGAAAAAGGTGGGTAGGGGGTGGGACCAAGGGATGGTGCTCAGAGGTGGGTTGGGGGTGGAGACAAGGGGAGGGGGGAGAAGGAGGAAGTACCTACATCTATTCAATGAGAAAAAAAAGCCCTGCTTGTAAGACCAACCACCATCCATTCACAGTATGATTCGTCTTTATTGATGTCTCAGGATTGCATATTTTTATCTGTCAATTATCTGGACTTCCTTTACTGTAATGCTGTATAATTGTACCTGTATGCCATTGGCCAAACATTGCAGCCTTTTAATCGTCAACTGCATGACCCCCCCCTGCTTTCTCCTCATTGGCACACTGGCTGTGATTGACAGCCAATGGCTTCTGCTGCTGTCTCAGCCAATGAGGAGGGAGAGACCTGGGGGAGCCGTGTGCTCTCATGCACATCACTGGATTGAGAGGGGGCTCAGGTAAGTATGGAGGGGGGGGGGGGCTGCACACAGAATTCCATGCATAAAATGAATGAAGGTAAAAAAAAAGAACTTTAAAAACAAGCACTTTAAATAAAATTAATGTGACAGAAAGATGATCAGACATGGACCCCCGCTCCGCCCCCCCCCCCCCCCAAAAGAAAGAAAGAAAGAAAGAAAGAAAGAAAAAGAAAAAAAAAACCAAAATATATATATACATACACACACTATATTGCCAAAAGTATTGGCCCCACCCTCCAAAATCATGTGATTCAGGTGTCCCAATTCCATATCATGTGATTCAGGTGTTCCAATCCCCTCCCAATCATGTGATTCAGGTGTTCCAATCATGTGATTCAGGTGTTCCAATCCCCTCCATATCATGTGATTCAGGTGTTCCAATCCCCTCCATGGACACAGGTGTATACAATCAAGCCCCTAGGCATGCAGACGGCTTCTACAAACATTGGTGAAAGAATGGGTCGCTCTCAGGAGCTCAGTGACTCCAAGCGTGGTCCCGTGATAGGTGGCCACCTGGGCAATAAGTCCATCCGTGACATTTCCTGGCTACTAAATATTCCACGCTCAACTGTTAGTGGGATTATAACAAAGTGGAAGCACTGGGAACAACAGCCACTCAGCCACCAAGTGGTAGGCCACGTCACATGACAGGACGCGGGGTCAGCGCATGCTGAAGCGCACAGTGCGCAGAAGTCGCCAACTGTCTGCAGAGTCAATAGCTAAAGACTCTCCAAACTTGGTGTGGCCTTCAGATGAGCCCAACAACAGTGCGTAGAGAGCTTCATGGAATGGGTTTCCATGGCCGAGCAGCTGCATCCAAGCCTTCCATCACCAAGTGCAATGCAAAGCGTCGGGTGCCGTGGTGTAAAGCACGCCGCCACTGGACTCTAGAGCAGAAGAGACGTGTTCTCTGGAGTAACCAATCACGCTTCTCTGTGTGGCAATCTGATGGACATGTCTGGGTTTGGCGGTGGCCAGGAGAACGGTACTTGCCTGACTGCATTGTGCCAAGTGTAAAGTTTAGTGGAGGGGGGGGGTTATGGTGTGGGGGTGTTTTTCAGGGGTTGGGCTTGGCCCCCTAGTTCCAGTGAAGGGAACTCTTAAGGCAAGATTTTGGACAATTTCATGCCCCCAACTTTGTCAGAGGAGTTTGGGGATGGCCCCTTCCTGTTCCAACATGACTGCCCCCCAGTGCACAAAGCAAAGTCCATAAAGACATGGATGAGTGAGTTTGGGTGAATGTCCCTTACATTGGTCAGTGGGAAGAATGTCCCTTACATTGGGGGTCAGTGGGAAGAATGTCCCTTACATTGGGGGTCAGTGGGAAGAATGTCCCTTACATTGGGGGTCAGTGGGAAGAATGTCCCTTACATTGGGGGTTGGGGCCCCTTCATTGTGGGATCAGTGGGAATGTCCCTTACATTGGGGTCAGTGGGAAGGTCCCTTACATTGGGGGGTCAAGAATGTCCCTTACATTGGTCAGGTCAGTGGGGAAGAATGTCCCTTACATTGGGGGTCAGTGGGAAGAATGTCCCTTACATTGGGGGTCAGTGGGAAGAATGTCCCTTACATTGGGGGTCAGTGGGAAGAATGTCCCTTACATTGGGGGTCAGTGGGAAGAATGTCCCTTACATTCACATTGTCAGTGGGAAGAATGTCCCTTACATTGGGGGTCAGTGGGAAGAATGTCCCTTACATTGGGGGGGTCAGTGGGAAGAATGTCCCTTACAGCGCCGGGGGGGGTCAGTGGGAAGAATGTCCCTTACATTGGGGGGTCAGTGGGAAGAATGTCAATTGGGGGTCAGTGGGAATTTCCCTTCACATTGGTAGTTATCATAGGAGGAACGTCAATCTGTCATTGCTCACCCCTCAAGGGGCCCCTAGAAACAACTGAAGTCTGCATGAGGGCCACGTTCACTCCAGCTCCACCCAGAGTCACCCTTCAATATCGGCACAATCTGCTGGTAATTGTGGTCCTGCAGATGCCGGACTGTACCCACCAATCACATTGTGCCTTTTATACTCTCACTTCAGGACACAAAATGAAAGAAAGGCTCTGATTGGCTTCTGCAGATCTCAAAATCAAGGCTGTAATGGGTGTACAGCGCCATGGGGGGATGCGTGCTCAGTCCTGCCGTGGTGACCACAGGCCGGAGATACCCCCCCCCTCTCGGAGGTCACGTGTGGTCACTTTGTAGTTGGCTTTTCTCATTGCTGATTGAAGGTTGTAAGAGAGAGAAAAAGCTGTTCTGGGGCTCTTTCCACCGCTGGCTCCATCCATCACCAGATCAGTCAGGACGGGGCATACTCCCGGCCCGCTCCTCTCCCCCCATCCAAGATTATATTGCTAGCAGCTGGGAGACGCTCTCGCTGCACCAATCGGCTGCCAAGCAGACTCATCCCTTTCAGTTGTTTTTTATGGTTCCCATAATCTGAATATTTGTATTGTTAGGTTATTCCTCTCTGCGTTCTGCTACTAATTACATGCGGCCTGCGCGGGTCCGCGTCCAAACCGCCGCAAAGACCGAGCGTCCCCGGCAGGAGGAGTGACAGGTGCTCACCAGGAGGGCGATTCCCAGAGGAGCGACGGAAAACCTCAGATATGCAATGTACAATGAGGGAGATACGGAGTACCCAGAGGGGGTGCTGGGGGGAGGGGTGAGAGCTATACAAATGTATCATAATAATAGTGTGTGACTGCACCAGAGGAGCTTACACTCTAATGTCCCCTCCCCCACGGTCCATCAGTCTCTGCTGCACCAGAGGAGCTTACACTCTAATGTCCCCTCCCCCACAGTCACTTCAGTCTCTGCACCAGAGGAGCTTACACTCTAATGTCCCCTCCCCCACGGTCCATCAATCTCTGCACCAGAGGAGCTTACGCTCTAATGTCCCCTCCCCCACAGTCACATCAGTCTCTGTACTAGAGGAGCTTACGCTCTAATGTCCCCTCCCCCACAGTCACATCAGTCTCTGTACAGAGGAGCTTACACTCTAATGTCCCCTCCCCCACAGTCACATCAGTCTCTGTACCAGAGGAGCTTACACTCTAATGTCCCCTCCCCCACAGTCACATCAGTCTCTGTACTAGAGGAGCTTACACTCTAATGTCCCCTCCCCCACAGTCACATCAGTCTCTGTACTAGAGGAGCTTACGCTCTAATGTCCCCTCCCCCACAGTCCCATCGGTCTCTGTAACAGAGGAGCTTACGCTCTAATGTAAGCTCCCCTCCCTCACAGAGCTATATAAATGTATAATAATAGTGTGTGACTGTGGGGGAGGGGACATTAGAGCGTAAGCTCCTCTGGTGCAGAGACTGATGGGACTGTGGGGGAGGGGACATTAGAGCGTAAGCTCCTCTGGTGCAGAGACTGATGGGTCAGACTATGGAATATATCAGAGTTATATAAATATATATTATAGTAAAATATAATTTTTATGTCGATATAAAAAGTCTTAAACAAGAACAAACTTACCGCGATGCTCACATCTTGTACTTCGGCGTCCCCTATAGGTAAAAAATGAGAATTGCAGTCAGATCTTTAAAAAATTACTTGTGTGTCAACTTATATATTTTTGAAAAAATCCAACAAACTCCACCCCCCCCCCAAGATCCAACCCCCCCCCCCAAGATACAATCCTCTCCTCCCCCAAGATACAATCCGCCCCCCCAAGATACAATCCCCCCCCCCCAAGATACGAGGGGCGTTCAAGTCAAACCGGGACTTTTGATTTTATATATTAGAAGAGTAATGGTTGAACTGGATGGACTTTTCCTTTTTTCAGCCAGACTATGTAACACATTTCAAGGAGCGGAAACTGCATTTATTTTCTGTCATCCTCCCCTGCTACATTTCTGCACGTCTCCCAGCCACTAATGCCTGGAAAGCTCCGGCATAGAAAGATTTGTCGGGACGTCTGACCCATCCTGGGACGGCCGGCTTCACTTCCTCCTCGTTGTGTTCACCGTTCCCACAGAAAGATTCGTCTCCTGTGTGACGTCACGATCGATGATCCAGGATCAGGCGTTCCACGCGCTGAATGTTCACAGGAATGACTGCTGTGGGCTGGGAACCGCCACGGCCGGGATCGGCATTGACAGACGGACGGCCATATTTGAGATGGTTCCACCATTGACACGTCTCACTGCGGCTGAGCGTCTTATCGCCGTACCGCGCTGGAAGTCTTCTGTAGATATCGGCGGGTTTCACACCTTCGTTCACAAGAAACGTCATCACCGCGCACTGCTCCATGCACGCACCAAAACTGCTGTCCGCCATCTTGACTACCGGTCTCTGGACTGGCCCGTGACATATGCGCCCCCTATCAGTAATAGGACATGCCTTCCACTTACTACTACGTGTTGTACCGCCATGCTAGCGTTCCTTTTTATACCAGGAAAATGGAAAGTCCCCGCTTGACCTGAACGACCCTCGTACATCTGGACTGGATGGACAGAAAGGCAGCTAAAGCAGGTCTTATACAGTTGTGCCCCAAAGTCTCCCTCCCCTGGCAGAAATGGTGAAATTTTGGCATTGATATTGAAAGTCTGACTCATCGTGCCGAACAAATGTCTTTTATTGAAGGACGATGATCGTATGAAGCCATTTATTGTCAAATAGTTGTTTGGCTCCTTTCTAAATGCTAATGATACAAATATGATCAGAAGTCTCCACCCCCTGGAATGTTCGGCCTTAGTACAGACACACAAGATGACAAGAAAGATACTAAGCCAAGGTCAGGTAGACCAAGAAAGATACCTAGCCAAGGTCAGGTAGACCAAGAAAGATACCAAGCCAAGGTCAGGTAGACCAAGAAAGATACCAAGCCAAGGTCAGGTAGACCAAGAAAGATACCAAGCCAAGGTCAGGTAGACCAAGAATGATACCAAGCCAAGGTCAGGTAGACCTAAGAAAGATACCAAGCCAAGGTCAGGTAGACAAGAAAGATACCAAGCCAAGGTCAGGTAGACCAAGTGATACCAAGCCAAGGTCAGGTAGACCAAGAAAGATACCAAGCCAAGGTCAGGTAGACCAAGAAAGATACCAAGCCAAGGTCAGGTAGACCAAGTAAGATACCAAGCCAAGGTCAGGTAGACTAAGAAAGATACCAAGCCAAGGTCAGGTAGACTAAGAAAGATACCAAGCCAAGGTCAGGTAGACCAAGAAAGATACCAAGCCAAGGTCAGGTAGACCAAGAAAGATACCTATCCAAGGTCAGGTAGACCAAGAAAGATACCAAGCCAAGGTCAGGTAGACCAAGAAAGATACCAAGCCAAGGTCAGGTAGACCAAGAAAGATACCAAGCCAAGGTCAGGTAGACCAAGAAAGATACCAAGCCAAGGTCAGGTAGACCAAGAAAGATACCAAGCCAAGGTCAGGTAGACCAAGAAAGATACCAAGCCAAGGTCAGGTAGACCAAGAATGATACCAAGCCAAGGTCAGGTAGACCAAGAATGATACCAAGCCAAAGTCAGGTAGATCAAGAAAGATACCAAGCCAAGGTCAGGTAGACCAAGAAAAATACCAAGCCAAGGTCAGGTAGACCAAGAAAGATACCAAGCCAAGGTCAGGTAGACCAAGAAAGATACCAAGCCAAGGTCAGGTAGACTAAGAAAGATACCAAGCCAAGGTCAGGTAGACTAAGAAAGATACCAAGCCAAGGTCATTTAGACCAAGAAAGATACCAAGCCAAGGTCAGGTAGACCAAGAAAGATACCAAGCCAAGGTCAGGTAGACCAAGAAAGATACCAAGCCAAGGTCAGGTAGACCAAGAAAGATACCAAGCCAAGGTCAGGTAGACCAAGAATGATACCAAGCCAAGGTCAGGTAGACCAAGAATGATACCAAGCCAAGGTCAGGTAGACCAAGAATGATACCAAGCCAAGGTCAGGTAGATCAAGAAAGATACCAAGCCAAGGTCATTTAGACCAAGAAAGATACCAAGCCAAGGTCAGGTAGACTAAGAAAGATACCAAGCCAAGGTCAGGTAGACAAGAAAGATACCAAGCCAAGGTCATTTAGACCAAGAAAGATACCAAGCCAAGGTCAGGTAGACCAAGAAAGATACCAAGCCAAGGTCAGGTAGACCAAGAAAGATACCAAGCCAAGGCCAGGTAGACCAAGAAAGATACCAAGCCAAGGTCAGGTAGACTAAGAAAGATACCAAGCCAAGGTCAGGTAGACTAAGAAAGATACCAAGCCAAGGTCAGGTAGACCAAGAAAGATACCAAGCCAAGGTCAGGTAGACTAAGAAAGATACCAAGCCAAGGTCAGGTAGACTAAGAAAGAAATACCAAGCCAAGGTCAGGTAGACCAAGAAAGATACCAAGCCAAGGTCAGGTAGACCAAGAAAGATACCAAGCCAAGGTCAGGTAGACCAAGAAAGATACCAAGCCAAGGTCAGGTAGACTAAGAAAGATACCAAGCCAAGGTCAGGTAGACTAAGAAAGATACCAAGCCAAGGTCAGGTAGACTAAGAAAGATACAAACGCAAGCCAAGGTCAGGTAGACTAAGAAAGATACCAAGCCAAGGTCAGGTAGACTAAGAAAGATACCAAGCCAAGGTCAGGTAGACCAAGCAAGATACCAAGCCAAGGTCAGGTAGACCAAGAAAGAGATCAAGCCAAGGTCAGGTAGACTAAGAAAGAAACCAAGCCAAGGTCAGGTAGACCAAGAAAGATACCAAGCCAAGGTCAGGTAACCAAGAAAGATAGCCAAGGTCAGGTAGACCAAAAGATACCTAGCCAAGGTCAGGTAGACCAAGAAAGATACCAAGCCAAGGTCAGGTAGACCAAGAAAGGTACCTAGCCAAGGTCAGGTAGACGAAGAAAAAACCACGCCAAGGTCAGGTAGACCAAGAAAGATACCAAGCCAAGGTCAGGCAGACCAGGAAAGATACCAAGCCAAGGTCAGTTAGACTAAGACAGATTGAAGCCACAGCTGCCAGAAGAATTGTTCGGGATAAAAAGAAAACCCCACAGGAGAAATACAGGCTGCTCTGGAAAAAGATGCTGTGGTTGTTTCAAGGAGCACAAAACAACAATACTTGAAGAAAAATGAGCAGCATACTCAAGTTGCCAGAAAGAAGCCTTTACTGCGCCAAAGACACAAAAAAGCCCAGTTACAATATGCCTGGCAACACCTTGACATGCCTCTTGGTTTCCGGAGCACTGTAATCTAGAGTTACGAGACCAAAATAGAGCTCTATGGTCAAAACCCTAAGCGCTATGTTTGGAGAGGGGTCAACAGGTCTATAGCGACATGAATATCATCCCCACTGTGAAGCATGGTGGCGGCTCACTGATGTTTTGGGGGGGGGGGGGGGTTGAGCTTTAAAAGGCACCGGGAATCCTGTGAAACATGATGGCAAGATGAATGCGCCATGTTTTCAGAAAATACTAGCAGACAATTTGCATTCTTCTGTAGGAAAGCTGCGCATGGGGCGCTCTTGGACCTTCCAGCACAACAATGACCCTAAGCACAAGGCCCAGCTGACCCTCCAGTGCTCACAGCTGAAAAAGGTGAAGGTTCTGGAGAGGCCATCACAGTCTCCTGACCTTGATATCATCGAGCCACTCTGAGGAGATCTCAAACGTGCCGTTCATGCAAGACGACCCAAGACTTGGCATAGCCTGGAGGCATTTTGCCGAGACGAATGGGCGGCTCTCCCACCTGCAAGAATTCGGGGGCCTCATAGACAACTATTACAGAAGACGGCACAGTGGGGGCAATACACAGGATGAAGAACAAAGGGGGTGCAGACTTTTGAACAGGAGGCATTTCATTGGTTTACTTGTTGCCGTCCCACATGAGAGAAAAATATATTTTAAACATATTCAAAAAATATTCTTCCCAAATATATTGACATATAATTGAAAAAACTACAATTTTTGGCCGTATTCATATATTTCAATAAATAAATAAATAAATATATATATATATATATATATATATATATACATACACTATGTTGAAATGTTTTTATTATAAAATATATTAAAAATATTTTTAAAAAATATACTGTACATCATTAAAAATACTTTAATCTACATTTTGGAATGCATGTACAAAATTATGTAAATGAAAAAAAAAAAAAAAAAAATATATATATATATATATATATAGTATGTTGAAATATATATTGGAATATATATATATATATACTATATTATATTTTATATATATATATATATATATATATATATATATCGGTATAGATATATATATATTATTTATATATATTATATATATATATATATATATAATGTTGAAATGCGTTTTTATTTATTTTGCTACATGTTAAAAAAAAGAAAATCTGAACAATATATTTTAAAAAAAATATATTTTTAAAAAATTTTTCATATATTTTGTAATATAAAAAAAACTGCATTTCAACATGCAATATATATATATATACGCACACTGTTATGTTGAAGAAATGTGTGTTTATTACAAAATATATGAAAACCTCAAATATTTTTAAAAATACATTTTCAAATATACCGTACGTCTTTAAATATACATTTTTGGAACGCATTACATAGTAAATTATATGTGATGACTAAATGACTTACTTTAAATGGCTTTTTTTATATGTTTAAAAAAAAATCAGAAGAATATATTTAAAAAAAAAAAAGTTGTTTTCACTCATTTTTCCCTTCCTGCTGTCGGCCGGCATGCAGAACGTCATATCCACATTACAATGAATGGGAAAATGTCATAGAATAGGGTGGTCCGGCTGACCCCCGGCCCATCAAAGGGTTGGCCTTCTCGTAGCATCTTCCTGACGCTAGGACATTCGAAAAACCTTTTTTCTCGTGAAAACGCCGCTGGATCGTCCTCAGGGGAAGTTGATGGTCGTCCCCGATCTTCTTTCCCGTGCCGTCCAGTCACCGAAACTCATCGAACCCCGATCAGGGTCAGGCTCTCGAATGTCAGGAGCTGAAACGCCCCGCGTCACCCCTTCCCAGGATTGGTGAAATCTGTCAGAAAACACGGGAAGAAAACTTGTGACGCATCAAACAATAATGTGCACGACATCCACCCAAACTTTGTGAAGCATCGCGCGATAATGTGCGAAAGTCCACTCAACCTTTGTGATGCATCTGCACGACAAATTGTCCCGACGACTCCACCCAAAATTTGTGACGCATTCGCGCGATAATGTGCGACATCCACCCAAACTTTGTGATGCATACATTGCACGATAATGTGTGACATCCACCCAAACTTGTGTGAAGCATCGCATAATAATATCAACATCCACCCAAACTTTGTGACGCATCGCACGATAATATGCAGCAATCCACCAAAGTTTTGTGACGCATCGCACGATAAGTGTGCGACATCCACCCAGATGCTTTGTGACGCATCGCACGATAATATGCAAAGATCCACCCAAACTTTGTGACGCATCGCACGATAATGTGCGACATCCACCCAAACTTTGTGACGCATCGCACGATAAATGTGCGACATCTCCCAAATTTTGTGACGGCATCATCGCATGATAATAGTGTGACATCCACCCAAACTTTGTGACGCATTTTGAACGATAATGTGCCGGACTTACGACATCCAAACCCTTTGTGACGCATCAAACAAATAATGTGCGACATCCCACCCAAACTTTGTGACGCATCGCTCAATAATGTGAAAAAAATCCACCCAAACTTTGTGACGCATCGCACGAGAAAATGTGCTACATCCACCAAAACTTTGTGACGACAAACATCGCCACTAATAATAATGTGCAATCTACCCACAAACTTTGTGACGCATCGCACAATGATGTGCGACATCCACCCAAACTTTTGACACATCGCACGATAAAGTGCGACATGCACCCAAACTTTGTGACGCATCGCACGATAATGTAGGTGATACCCTAATCCATCCAAAGCTACATCCACCCAAACTTTGTGACGCATCGCACGATGATGTGCTACATCCACCCAAAGTACTACATCCACCCAAACTTGTGATGCATCGCACAATAATGGCAACATCCCCCAAACTTTGTGACGCATTGCACGATGAATGTGCAACATCCACCCAAAACCTTTGATGCATCGACAACCAATAATGTGGCAATCATCCACCAAACTTTGTGACAGCATAGGCACGGGATTGAATGCGACATCCACTCAAACCTTGTGACGCATCGCACGATAATGTGACATCCACCCACAACTTTGATGCACATCGCATACGATAATGTTGACATCCACCCCAAACTTTGTGACGCATTGCACGATGATGTGCGTAACATGACCACCCAATACTGTGAATTAAAGATGCATCGAACGATAATGTGCAACATCCACCCAAACTTTGTGACGCATTGAATGATAATGTGCACATCTCACCATCTGTTGCAGTAGTGCATTGAGCTCGTGGATCTGCGCCAGCCTTCGGGAGTCGATCTCGGGGGTCGGCTGCTGGAAGACGATGCGTTGCGCTATCGGGAGTTTTCTCAGCATCGTTTCCTCCACCCAGTTTGGACTCAAAATCTTTTGGGAGCTGAAATAAAAGCACAAAATGGGCAGCATGGGGGCTTATTGGTTAGCATGTCTCTGCCCTGCAGCACTGGGGGCCTTGGGCCTGGACACTGTCTGCATGGAGTTTGCATGTTCTCCCTGTACTTGTATGGGTTTCCCTCCCACACTATAAGGACATGCTGGCAGGGTAATTAGCTCTGGTCTTGGTATGTGTATGTATGTGAGTTGGGACTTTAGACTGCAAGCTTCTTGAGGGGAGACGGGTCAGCAAGGCGGAGGACAGGGGTCACTGCTGGCAGGGCATCAGGGCAGGAGTCATATTTGGCAGAGCAGAGGACAAGGAATCACAACTGGCAGGGTAGAGGACAGTGGACCACTTTTGATTAGGCAGGGCAGAGGAACAGGGACCACTGGCAAAGGGCAGAGGACAGGGACCACTTTTGGCAGGGCAGAGGTCAGGGACCACTTTTGGCAGGGCAGAGGACAGCCGATCACTGCTGACAGGGCACTGGACAGGGGTCACTGCTGGTGGGGCAGACGGACAGCAGGGTCACTGACTTGGTCGGGGGCAGAGGACAGGGGTCCCTCTGCTGGCAGGGCAGAGGGAACAAGGGTCACTGCTGGCAGGGCAAAGGACAGAGGTTTTTCCCTGCTAGCAGGGTAGATGACTGGGGTCCCTCTGGCAGGGCAAAAGACAGGGGCCACATTTGTCAGGGCAGAGGACAGAGGTCACTGCTGGCAGGGCAAGAACAGGGGTCACTGCTGCAGAGGAGAAGAACAGGGTCTCTGCTGCTGGCAGGAGACAGAACAGGGGTCCACTGCTGGCAGGGAGAAGAACAGGGGTCTCTGCTGGCTGGGCAGAAGACAGGGGTCACACTTGCTGGTAGGGCAGAGGACAAGGGTAACTGCTGGCAGGGCAGAGGACAGGGGTCCTGCTGGTGAGGCAGAGGACAGGGGTCACTGCTGGCAGGGCAGAGGACAGGGGTAACAGCTGGCAGGTCAGAGGACAAAGGTCACAGCTGGCAAGGCAGAGGACAGGGGTCACTGCTGATGAGGCAGAGGACAGGGGTCACTGCTGGATGAAAGAAGAGGTCACTCTTGGCAGGGCAAAAGACAGGGGTTACTGCTGGCAGGGCAGAGGACAGGGGTCATATTTGGCAGAGCAAAGGACAAGGATCACAACTGGCAGGGCAGAGGACAGGGGTCACTGCTCGTGGGCAGAGGACAGGGGTCACTGCTCGTGGGGCAGAGGACAGGGGTCACTGCTGGCAGGCAAAGAACAGGGGTCACTGTTGGCGGGGCAGAGGACAGGGGTCTCTGCTGGCAGGGCAAAGAACAGGGGTCACTGCTGGCAGGGTAGATGACTGGGGTCCCTTCTGGCAGGGCAAAAGACAGGGGCCACTTTTGTCAGGGCAGAGGACAGGGGTCACTGCTGGCAGGGAGGAGAACAGGGGTCACTGCTGGTAGATACTCAGCCATGCTCCTCCTCCCCAAACAGACAGCTTTGGCTTGGGGGGGCAACTAAAATCTGGGGGGCCCACCCCAGCACCCCCCTATATCCAGCCATGAGGTCTCCTCACCTGCACCTGGTAGATTCTCTCACTGGTCTTGTCATGGAAGCAGAGTAGATGCGGTCCTGTAGATGGCGCTCTCGTCTCACTGTCTTGTCCAATGAAGGAGTTATACAGATTCTGACCAATGAGAAGGTGTGTGGAGGTTAATCGCGTTGCAACCATTGGACCAATCTCATCAGAAATGACCATTTCTCTGCCCCTCATTGATTGACATTGCTTGATGATAATAAAGTGACCCACAAAGGTGAAACTAAACCTCCTACATAAGTTGTACCTGTGTATCTGCAGTCCTACAAGTGCTGAAGTTATACAGCTTGTCTGAGGGTTCAGAAAGAAAGGGGGCGGAGAGCTGAAACTACACTTTGGAGAGCTCAGCGAGGAGAGCTCTGAGAGCTCATTGGATGGAAGAGACACACCCGCCTCCATACAGCACAAAGGAACAGAGCTGAGGCTGTCAATCACAGGCTGTGTGTTGGAGCTCCTCCCCTGACACCCTTCTTCTCTTGGTGTCAGGAAAACTTGTCAGAGGTGCTGATAGCAGAGGAAGGAGGCAGCGAACTTAATGCCGATATAAACCTCCCGCATAGAGGGTATGGAAGACGATCGATCGCACAACACCCCAACAGGACGATGCAATTGTAAAGTCCGTAAATGTGAGCTTTATAATATCAACGATCCTTCATCCCACAGATTTTGGCCGGCCATACAAAATTCGACCGGACCTAAGAATAATCGGCCGATTTCACTCTGTTAGTGGGGTCAATGACACCGGACGATTTTTGCTCTGTTAGTGGGGTCAATGACACCGGACGATTTTCACTCTGTTAGTCGGGTCAATGACACCGGACGATTTTCGCTCTGTTAGTGGGGTCAATGACACCGGACGATTTTCACTCTGTTAGTGGGGTCAATGACACCGGACGATTTTCACTCTGTTAGTGCAGTCAATAACACGGACAATTTTCGCTCTGTTAGTGGGGTCAATGACACCGGACAATTTTCGCTGTTAGTGGGGTCAATGACACCGGACGATTTTCACTCTGTTAGTGGGGTCAATGACACCGGACGATTTTCGCTCTGTTAGTGGGGTCAATGACACCGGACGATTTTCGCTCTGTTAGTGGGGTCAATGACACCAGACGATTTTCGCTCTGTTAGTGGGGTCAATGACACCGGACGATTTTCGCTCTGTTAGTGGGGTCAATGACACCGGACGATTTTCACTCTGTTAGTGCAGTAAATGACACCGGGCGATTTTCGCTCTGTTAGTGGGGTCAATGACACCGGACGATTTTCGCTCTGTTAGTGGGGTCAATGACACCGGACAATTTTCGCTGTTAGTGGGGTCAATGACACTGGACGATTTTGCTCTGTTAGTGGGGTCAATGACACCGGACGATTTTGCTCTGTTAGTGGGGTCAATGGCACCAGACGATTTTCGCTCTGTTAGTGGGGTCAATGACACCGGACGATTTTCGCTCTGTTAGTGGGGTCAATGACACCAGATGATTTTTGCTGTTAGTGGGGTCAGTGACACCGGACGATTTTCGCTCTGTTAGTGGGATCAATGACACCGGACGATTTTCGCTCTGTTAGTGGGGTCAATGGCACCGGACGATTTTTGCTCTGTTAGTGGGGTCAATGACACCGGACGATTTTTGCTCTGTTAGTGGGGTCAGTGACACCGGACGATTTTCGCTCTGTTAGTGGGGTCAATGGCACCGGACGATTTTTGCTGTTAGTGGGGTCAATGGCACCGGGACGATTTTTTTGCTCTGTTAGTGGGGTCAATGACACCGGACGATTTTTGCTG